AAGATCCTGAAAACTGATTCTTGGAGACATTTGCTTTTATTTGAGCCCATTTCTTAGTGAATCTCACTCCGTGTTATCTGAGCACGTCATCCCTGCAAAATATTCCATTCTGTTCCAGCGGATGTTGGAAAGCTCGTTTTCAGACGCTGTATCAGATTGCATTCACCAGCACACTCTCTTCTCCGTCCCTTGCCCAAAAGAGCTCCATCTGGGTGCTGCTGTTTCCTTTACCATTTATGTTGGCACGGACAGCAGCACCACCATGTCCAGAGAGCACTTCTCTGCCTGCAAAACAGGAAGAACGCACTGCTTTCAGATAGACACTGGAGACAGAAAACAAGCCAGCAACAATCCAGAGGCAGACAGAGGAGGATGGTAATGGGAGATTTTGAGCTGGTGCACAGCCAGTTTCTGCACTTGGCATCGTCTTACTGGATCACATTCCCTCGTCTGTGGACAATCTCTCTGTCCCAGCAACCTATAAAGATGGGATACTTAATAGGCCAATGTTGTTTGTCGCATATCTTCTCCGTGTAAAAAAAACATTGAAGAATTCTGTTTGCCTTAGCCCTGAGCGTGAAATATAAACTACTCATTGACACTGATCGATGGCAGTGACAAAGCAGTTACTTGGACAGGTGCTGAGGTTTCTGGCTGTACTTTGACTTAAAATAAAAAATTCCCATGAATGTCAAAGCCCAGTGTTATTGCAATCCTTTATTCGCAAACAGCTGCTGATCTAATTCCCAGACTGCTTCAAGTCCATTTCTTTTGGCAATGAGCATGTTTTTATTGACAGCAACAGCCTTTTAGCGCAATCAGGAAGAGACAGCAGAAAGTTACTGTGCATTCACCTTTCAGCTTTCCCACACTGTCTCAGCCTTGTTAGCGGGCCAATATGTTCTGGGTGTGTGGGTTTGAACCAGCAAAGAGCAAATCTTGCAATGGACAATTGAATGGTCAAACGTCTGACCTTAAATCTACACGAGCATCTTTGCAATCTGGGTTTAAATCCAGGCAGAACTGCTCTTTTTATCCAGGGGTATGATTATTGGCTGGAGTGTGAAGTTCAAATCCCACATCGCATATATGGTATGACCAGACTCATGCGGTGCAGGGCTTCAATTTTCACCATTGCATTTATCCTGAGTGAAAGCATGATGAGCTCCACCAGCATAAAGTGGTAACTGTCTGGTGTTACCACAGGCCTGGGTTCAAAGACTGTCACTGCAAGGCCAACGGGACTTTTATAGGGCTGCAACCCCTTTTTACATTCAAGTCAGTTTAAGAGACGATGCAGTTTTGTTGAATTAACTTTATTTTTTAACCTGACATTATACAACAATGATTAAAACTCATTACAGCAGGTGTAAATACCGAGCCTGTAAGCTCATGATCATAAACACCTCAGCTCGCTGGTAGAGGTCGGCCACGTTCCCGTACTTTCACTCCTTGTCAGCTGATGATGGGTTGTCTCCGCGTTGGACACCTGCAGTACTGGGGCAGAGGGAAAGCATACGTTGGCATGCAGACATGCACTGAACAGAGCAGCGCTGGCCTTTTGCTCAAACATCAGCTGGCACGTCTGTGCCCTCTGCGATCTCTCGTGACGTGCCAACCATAGTGCCCGGCTCTGACTTGCACAGACTCAGGCAGAAAGCACAGAGAGGGTCCTTGCACAAGAGCAGTGGAGACGGCTCTCCGCCAGCTGAATGCCAGAATGTCACAAGTCTGCGGAAGGTCTCGGTTCTTAAAAGTTCCAACGAAAACGATGCGTTGCTGCAGTTGATGAGTGATCTGTTGTCCAAGCGCGCTTCCTCGTGGAATCATTAAACGTGGCTATTCAGACGTCCGGTGTGTGTGCAGTTTGAAGGGAGTGCAGGCGTTTAAGGGGAGGTTCTGTTAAATATTTCTCTGTCTACGTTCTTTGAGATGAACTCTGTTCTCAGCCAAGCCAAGAATGTGCCAAGTGCACCCACCCATCCATTAACCTGTCCCGAAGTGTGCCACCGTGCGAGAAAACAAAACACTTCATTAAAAGCAGAGCATGTTGGTCACGGTCAAGTATTTTAGTTCTTTTCCAGTTAATATCACTACATTTACATGCTATTGTGCTCATAGGCTCAAACTTACACTTGTTAGGAACACTACACACAAAGCCTGACGACCATACAGGGCTACAGGGAGATTAAAGCCAGAAAAACAATTTCTTTGTTTTCATATAAGAATATTCGATTTGAGGTGACAGGAGAAAGAAAAAAACAACATAAGCTGCTGCTGCATATCGGTTTCAGCAAAAAACTTTTATCGTGACAGTTTGTTGACCTGTAGCTAAATTGAGAGGTGACATGTTCCAAACACAGCAGAGGTGGTGAGAGACGGTTTCTTCTTCACGCACACCTGTGCACAAGGCTTCTCGAGCGTTTAACGACCTCGCTTTAAGTGCTCGGAACATCTCCCCGCGGTGCCAAACTCAAGGCTGCTTTCGACACGATGTTAATTTACCATCAGGACTCTTCAGGCAGGCATCCATTAAAAACCTTAAAATGTTGAAAACCTCACAGCCAACGAACAATCAAATGACTGCTTGTTTAAAAATGACATATTCCAGGCTTTTTCTTTTCTTTTTTTTAAATGCTGTACATATTCCATGTGCTTGAGTTTGAGGGCCTGTGAAAACAACAAGTTGTTAATCACGCTTTCATATTTCATCAAGCACACAGAGCAAAGTCAGTAGTTTTGTTTAGCATGTGTAACACAGGCGTGCAGGACCGACTGTATTCACTGAATAAGAGAGGGCACATTGTGCACTCGCATCCTCATGTGAACATCAGCAGATCAGAGCGTAAACTTGGCCAGCTCCTTCTTCTTTTCGTTGTATTTAGCGCTGAGTTGTCCTACAGCCCGTGCGTGCTCTTCATCCACCTCCTCCTTTAATCTCTGCTGCTCCTTCAGGAACTCGGCCCAGTCTTCTTTCAGCTGCTCCATGTTCGCCTTTAGGCGGGTGCCCTGGCATGACACGAGGAAATCAAAATAACACAACAAAATTATTTATTTAAATGTTAAAGTGAATCATGCACTGTGCTGTATAAGGAGGAAATTCAAACTATCCTAAATGCCTTTAAAGCAACTTTTTTAGAAGTTGCCTTGGTGTGTGTCTTTACCTGTTGGGCCTCTAGCTCCCTCTGCTGGACTCTCTCTGCCATGTGATTAGCAGCCTCCACTGTTGGACATAACAAAACGAAGGTGCGAAAATATTATTTCCACACATGAGTCAGACTGTATTCTCAAGAATGCCTAGAGACTCAAGATCTTAGCAACAGTAAGTTCACAGTAAACTACAGCATGGATGGAATAAACTCAGATACAGCATCTGTCTGTACAACGGTGATAACAACTGAATACTGGTTATGATGTTTGTTACAATGTTACTTCCTCCTCTGAGTGGTCATGGCAACAGCCAGAGGAGACATCATACAAACAAGCTTCTGCTGCTACGCCTCGACTAGATTTTCTTATTTCTTGGATTTCCAAACATTTAATTTTTCATATTTTCCTCGATACACCTGGTTTTGTATTCATTCATTCACACATGTTGAAGCTGTAGAGTTTGTCTCCATGGATACAAATGAAGAGGTAACACAGAAACTAATTTGCTGCAGAAAAGTAAAGAAAAAAAAATGAAAATACTTAACACATTAAGGCAAACGACTAAATTATGTGAATGATTCATGAACTATGAAATGAGATTTCAGCGATAAACAAACAAAAAAAGTTTCATGTGTGGCTGCCGGTGGAGTAACTTACACCGTTTATTGATATCAGACAGCTGATGTTTCATGTCCTCGAAATTTGCTGGCGACATTTGCTCGTTCGTTTCCAGCACACTTTTATTGATGTTCTCCAGCAGACGGCTCTCCCTGTACCCCCGCTTTTCCTGAACGACAGCACAACAAGTCAGCCCACGCTCTAAACAGCAGCTGGGTTTTTTACCACTAAAACAAATAAATAAATAATTAAATAAGGTCGCTGAGTGCAGAGGTGACAGGTAAATTTGAATTCCTGTCTGCATAGACAGCGACAGATATGTGACTTTTGACCATTTATGACAATTATTTGCTGTAATATTGGACACAGACTGCAAGTAATTGCCAACTTGATCCCATTCAGTCACAGGCTGATAGCAGACTGACTGTCTTATGGCAACATTTACAGCAGGTGCTAGTAACAGAGTCTGTATCCTTAACAATCTCAGCTAAGCTAATCAATAAGAGTATGTGTTAATGCAATACTCAGCATATTACAAAATGTTTCAAAACTGAATAATATCGTATCATAGGCTGTCTGGTGATTCCCACCTCTGCTTCAAACAGTAGAAACTAATTGGCTCTGTATGTGAAAACAGTCTCTGCATTTCTTTTGATTTTTTTGGTTATTTGCAACTTTGTGTTGGTTCTCTGTCACAATGGTGTGAAAGTTTATATCAGTTATAATTTGGACTGGAACAAGCCAGGCTACATTTTTAGGTTTTCAAGGGGTTGGCACAGAGGAGTGTGTGGCTGAGTGACTCTATGCAGAGCAGTCATCAAACTCTGTCATGCTTTCACAGTGTACCTCAAACTCTCTCATAAAGTAGCGGATCTCTGCATTGATGACCGGTCTGTGGTCCAGCAGTCGTGACTGGATATCACCCACATCTGCAGGATGAGCACAGATTGGAATAAACACACTTCACACAAAACAGACACGTTTAACAACTGTCTGTGCTTTATTAGCTCAGCGGTGGTTTTAAATAAGTGCTTTAAAAAGCAAGGAGAGAGGCTGATAAGAGTTTAACTCACCTTTAGCGATCTTGTCCATTATTTTGAGCTCTCCTGTCAGAGTCCCTTTACCTTTTATCCCTCCCCTTTGGAGCAGCTAGTTAGCTTAACCAACTGCTAGCTTTCCTCCAAATGCTAAGCTGATTCACAGCAGAAGACGTAGTTAATATAGCAAAACTATTAGCTATTAGACCTTAAACCAACAACGATGCAAAATCCTAACTCATATCACATGACTCAAAATACAAACGCTACTTCCGGGAATGCTTTGGACTGAACCAAAGGGGCGGGGAGGGGTGTTCATGATCTTTAAAGGTGTATTTTATTTACATTCTGTGAGGGTTTGTTATAGTTGGGTTACTGTGACTTCCTACTACAATTGTTTTTGACATTTTGTAGGTGTATGCACGAAGCTAAGTTGGAGGACAATGACGTGCTGGTTGCTGTTTTCTCCGCAGGCTCGCAATGAGTGGCTCTGGCTTGTGTATGAGGCAGTGTCGTGTGTGGTGCCTGGTTGTGGACAGCAGATGTCAGTGTTACTCTGCGGTGGAGCAAAGCGGCTGTAAGTATCGCTGTTTGACTCTCAGTTCCTTATCAGTAGAAAAGCCAGGCTGTTACAAAGGCTAAATATAAATTTATTCATTATGTCAAAATCTATGCAGCAACTACAAAATAAAATAAAAATTCAGTCAGTCAAAATATAGATTTTAAGTAGGACTGTACTTGTATACTTTTACTCGGTGATAAAATAATAATAAATAAAATACCGGGTTGCCAGGTTGTGGAAAAATCTCTTTAGCTCGCTTGTACATTTGGATTTAATATTCTTAAACTGTATTCCGTTTTTTGGGTAGACACTGCCCAAATTTACCTTCTGTGATCTGCCTCCTGGAAAGCCTGCAGGGTATCTAAACCCAGTTAAATTTATTAACAGCATATTCATATTTATAGAAATATACCTTAGAGAGTGGAAAACACTGAGTAACATTTCTTTGTAACTATGTTCTAACTAAGAGAAAGAATACCCAGCAGCTGGAGGAATTGTTCAAGACCAACCCAAACGTTTCTCCTATTAATGTTTGTAATAAAAAAAAAATTAAAAAAAAATCAACTTATCTTCATTGAATTTGTTTGTGCTAAATTTGTCTAGTAATTGGAGAGCCATATTTCTTTTTGATAACATATTATTTAGATTATCCTGATATATATACTTTATATATTCTTTGGGGAATGCTCACAACTCCTGTAATAAAAGATATGCACAAAGAAAATGTGCAGAAAAAGCAGAAAGTAGAAAAATAATTTAAAACCCCCCAAAAAACATCATTCCCATTTTTCTGACCTTCATAAAATTAAAATCCAGGGCTGGTAAAAACACCAGTGCCTGAATTATCTTGTCTAAGCAAATGCTTTTTTTTCACACTTGATAAAATGCAAATATATGAGCATAAATGTATTAATAAACTCAGCACTTGTGGCAAGAGCAAAGTATTTCCATCAGAAGTGAGGAGAGGTGTTGTTTGGGGGCAAATAAGTTTGCTCGTGAGCCCCAAATTCACTTAGACTGTCATGCTCAGTTAAGAGAAAACAAACATTAAGACACCACTTAAGTCCCAGCGCTGTCCACATTGTTTAGTTAAACACTCATTACATGCACCATTAGTTTTGAGTTGGGCCTATTAAAGAGATTAAATGATTGATCAACAGCTGAGGGATAAAAAAACAAGGCCTTTGCTGACGCCTTGGGTTTGTGGGAAAAAGCTGAGAGGATCTGTGACAACAAAACATGTCAAAACCAGCAAAGGCCTCTCTGACAGGAATGTGCATCCTGTTGTTTACTTATTCATGACTCTGCAGGGTGAAATTAAAAACATTAAGATCAGCGCAGCGAATGGTGGAGAGGCTGTATTTTCAGATTTTTTATATATATATATTTTTTTCTTTTAGATTAAAATATCACCTAATAAGTCAAGCATATGACAGAAAAACATAAACAGAGCAACCAAAACAGATTTAATTATATTCATTAATATAATGATTTTGGATTTTCAGAGTCAGTAAAAAAAAACAAAAAAAAACATTTTTTTAAAATTTAACTTTATTAGTAGTTTAATGTAGATTTCACATGTTGGAGGTTGGAGGTCATTTCTGTAGATAGCACGGGAAAAAAGTTCCATCATACCCAGTAAACAAAAACGTGTCCAAAGCTACGACAATAAAGAATTTGGAGAGCCCAGCCAGCATCAACATAACGAGGAAATATGTGTCCTTCTGCATCATTATCTGCGACGCCGGGCCGCAGTTTGCATGCGAGAGCTCGGTGCACGATCAGGTTTCCCTGTGTTTCTGTCTCGCAGGTCTATTAAGGGAATTCTGCTTTTTTATTTGACACTCCAGCCAGCGCAGAGCACAAAGCCTTTCTGGGACACTCTCCAAAATTGTCACTTAAAAAAGAAAAAGAAAAAAAAAGAAGAGGCAAAGTTGCAGTCTTGTAAAACTTTAAATAATATGTCAGGACTTGAGGTTATTCAACACAGGTTAAAAGGAAACCAGCTGTAATTATTTATAGCATTTTTGCATTGTTGAGCCGTTTCACACAAATCTTTTGAGCAGTAAATGACAAATACAGTGAATTCTATTGTAGGGAGATCAGTAGATCAAACATTATTATACTCTTTACATCAGGTATTTATGTATTATTGTGTTTCTTCAATATAATCATTCATTTAAATACAATAACACTAAATTCAGGAATTAATATAAATGTCATTTTTTTACACTTCAGTATTATATTATATATTCTATTATGATGCTGAAGTATTCCATATTATTGTGTAGAGTAAGCAGGGCTGAAGCAGCAGCAGTGTTTCTCCTCCTGTGAGTGCACGCTTGCCAGTATCCAGATGATCTCCTGCAGCACTTCCACTAACGGTGCTTCAGCGGTGCAGTGGGACGTCTGTGAGTGTGGTTTACCAAACATGCCCACTGGCCCTGCGAGCTCTCGCCCCGGTGACGCTCTTGCCTCTGTGTGTGTCTCTCTCTTTCCCGGACCAACCACGCTGGCCCTGTAACAACGGTGCTCGCATTACCCACTGGGTATAATTATCCTGCACTTAGCTGCTCTCCGTTCTCTCTCCTTCTCATGTTTTCTCTCGCTCTGTCTTTCTCTCTCAGCGTGGTTGGGTCTTGACACCGAGGTCCAGGCGGAGGGCCGCGGGGCCGCTGCTTTGTGTTCACAACATGCTGTATGCCACTGACTGCAACACAGTTCTGAACAGGTGGGGCTGCGGTTGATGGGAAAGGGAGAAGGGAAGGGAGGGGGGGGGTGCTACTCACTAGATGCTAAGGCCTCTGGGCTGGAATGAAGACGGGGGTGGTGGAGGGTTATAGGAGAGGACCTGCTGCCCAGCAGCCCACCTGTGTGCTTTCCCCTCTCACTCTCTCCATAACCAGACCCTGTTTCCACTGAATGCTGCTCTCTCTCTCTCAGTTCATGGGCAGAAAGCAGGTCATTCGTCCAGGCGCCACCACTCTCTTGTGCCACTGCTCGCTCGGAGGTGGAATGCTTCAGAGCTGTCCACCGTGGAGAAGACGTGCGACAGTCAGTGCAGTGCAAGACTGGAGTAGAGCAGGAAGGTAAAGAACCAAATAAAAACACTTAGGAGATGTATGCAGTGGCACTTAGAAGTCACAAGCCAGTGTGCAGTATGACACTGCCCCGCTGTCACACTGTCCCGTGGCCTGATGGGAAGGCACAGTGGCAGTACATGGCTTACAGGCTGAAAATCAACATATGTAGTCATCATTCTGCGCTTTTCAGGGAAGGAGAAGATTTTTCTTTTCTCTTTTGCAGTAAAATCAAACCGAACATTGTCAGATGCATCTTGCAGTGCCTGCCTCTTTTCCTTCCAGCTGGAGATTGGCACTCAAGCATTCAGGGACTGGAAGTGTGTGTGTAGATAGGGGGCGACCAGTGTGTCGGCTGCGATTAGCATTTGCAGCAGGCTCCTGCTGCCATTTCGGGACTCGTCCCAGAGATTAACGGCAACTGCACTGTCATTTCTCCCATGGGGGGCTGTCCCCCTGTCCTCTCCCGTCCGAGGGTAGGGATCGCCTCTATTTCCAAGAGGCAGGGAAGGGGTCGGGTAAGGGCAACAGGCTGGGGGAGGCTCCAAACCTGTTGAGGCAGAGCTTCCTGCAAAGTGTCCACAATCAAAGTGACAGATGTAGCGTGGAGGGAGAACTGGACAAAGGTATCTCTCCATTTGTTGAGGACCAAATCACTTCTCCAGTCGGAGGCATTTCGAACACACACACACGCACGCACACACACACACACACACACACACACACACACACACACAGATTTAAATAACACACATGCATACACACAGTACAACTTGAGCAGAGGAGGAGTTTAAAC